AGGCCATCAACCCCCAAGACTCAGGTACGTGCGATTACTTACTCACTAGCATTCTAGAATTCAAGCTTTCAGCTTGCAACCAGAATACAATACTGACTTAAGCATCAGAGCGACCTCGTCGTGTTAGCCACCCCGAGTTCTCTGATCCTTTGTCTTGCAGCTTGGCCCAGCTCACTATGCGACCAGTGTCCAGGTAATCTTCTAGCTAGGACAATGGGATTTTGCTTCTCATTGACCAAGAATCCCATGTTCTTTGTTCAGATTTATGTGGGGATCAGGGAAAGTTTATTTTCCTGTGTATCACTAACCTGACCTATCTCCTAGGGCCCCGTTCGCATTTTGATAAGTTACTTACTCGGGTAAATGCAGTTACCTGGGTAAGTTTTTCCTAGGAAACACTTACTTGGGTAAGTGCATTTACCCACATTCTTTTATTTCTCATGTAAATAAGGCAATGACCATTTTAGCCATAAAAATCCATTATTAAAAAGGACATTTTTATCCCATTCAAGTGTTGGCAAATTTCTCTCTAGGTGGGAAAGTTATTTACCCACCTAGGAGATGGGTACCACTTACCCGGGTAAGTGATACCCAAGAAAATAAACTTTCTCTGGTCCCCACATAAATCTGAAAAAAAAAACATGGGATTCTTGGTCAATGGGAACCAAAATCCCATTGACCAACTTTCCCCCCTCTCAAAATATGAAAAAGGAATGCCCCCTAGGTGGGTAAATAACTTTTCCACCTAAGGGGAAGGTTGCCAACACTTGAATGGGACAAAAATGCCCCTTTTAATAATAGATTTTTATGGATAAAATGGTCATTGCCTTATTTACCTAAAAAATAAAAGAACATGGGTAAAGGCAGTTACCCGAGTAAGTATTTCCCAAGAAAAATTTACCTAAAAGTGAACAGAGCCTATGTGTTTAAGTAGGATTGCAAACAGTATCCATTTGTCTAAATTCGAATTCAAATAATATCTATTGTATGAATTCGAATATGGATTCACCCTTATCTAATCTCTGATTGGTTTCAATTTGAATATATATGCTTTATATCTATGTTTTTACTAAATTGTTGTAAGTTTAAGTTTCATGCATGTTTTTTTATTCATTTTATTCATAAAATTAATATCAAAGCCATTTTTGTTCATTTATCAATAATATATGACATTTGATCAGGATTATAAGGTATTCCTATGTGCATAGACTGATGCCTTTCTTCTTTATCTATTTCTTATTCTCTATAATGAGTTTCTTTGTATTGGACAGTTTTGAGAAACGATGTTGAGAATTGTAATATTCGGATTTGAGGCAAGTTAATAAAATCTTAAGGTGACCACCCATGTGGATTAAAATTTGGGGTTAAAAAATAATAATATTTTGATCATTTTATTGTTTAATTTATTGCACTATTCAATATCCAATTGCAACCCAAATTCAATTTGAATCCAATGGATATGATTCAATTTATTGGCTATTTGATTTATTTGAATTTGACTATAAATAAATCAAATTTGGATCTACCTATACTCGATTTGATCATTTACACCTTACGTCTCAGCCACTCTAATAGCCTTGGGCATTAAAGATGAATAGTAGGTGTATTACGCCATTAGGATTTATTCCGATGCATATAAAGAAGCAACACAATTCACTGATTGTGAATCCTTAGGCTGCGTTTGGAAATGATGCAAATGAAGTATAAATCTCGGTTCAGGGTAAATTTATACTTTGGTTCATTTTTGTGTAATACATTGATAAATGATAAAAAATATATTTTTCAATGCATATTTACATTGATAATGAGATGGAAAAGTACATCAATAAAAAGAAGTAAATTTGCATTCAAGTGAGCTTTTGATAAAATAAAGTCATGCTTTATTGGAATTCATGTTTGCATCCATTACAGCTAAAAGCCTATTTGGTAAGAAGGTAAATTTGTCGATGCAAAACTAACCCAACTTTACAATTTATATGAACCATTTTACACTCTACATATTTGCTCTTTCTTCTTCATCTGCCACAGTCATTTGGCACAGGCAATATGTATCTGCCAGAACCAACCTTCTTCCTCTCAACTTAGCTCTTTCTTCAAAACCTCCCTCCTCAAATCCTCTCTTCTTCGAGTCAACATTATTTATCACGGAGCAATAACAAAGCTCATCTTCTTCAAATACCCCCTGCACCATCCATTCAGATTCAGTTGAGCTCTTCTCTTATCAGTCGTGGAATAAAGCCCATCTCATCTCAATCCATCATMTCTTCTTCACCTCAATCATGGCCATAGACATCTCTCTATTTTTATCCTAGTTGGTCGTTTTCAAGTGTTCCCCATCCGCTCACTCCTCCTTGCAACTACCTTTCCATGCCCAATCTTCTCAATCCTTCCCCTAGATCTATTACCATCTTACAGCCACTGTCCTATGGAACCTACTTTCTATGATCAACAATGTTGTTATGGTAATTGATGAGGGGCATTTTGGTCAATCTAACTGATGGTGGACATGTGGACGTTGTCAACAACACAGCGTCCCACTCAACAAGACAGCTTGCCAACTCGACACGTGGCAGTCATCATTTGGTACACGGCCGAACTAGGGCGAGCTCAATCCATAGCGTCTGGCATAGCAGAGCARCTCGCCAAAGTAACACGTGGTAGTCAGTATCTGGTACATGGCCGAGCTAGGGCGATCTCAATCCTYCGATAGCACCAACTCACCTAAAACAGTCCCAAAGGCAACGCTTGTGTAAGCGCTGTAGCCGCAACACAGGGAGTGGTCCACCGAGTTGACTGTCTCAAGACCAGCAAGCGACCTATAACCGCCGCACAAATCTAGCAATCAACTGACCAGTATACCCCAGAATTCGGGAAACTGCTCTGTACAAGGCTTAGAGACGTTACCCAACAACACCTAAACCTCAGGTAACTATAAAAAGACCACATGACCACTCCAAAAGGTAGGCATACATAAGCTCTCACTCTCTCCTAATTTCTTTGATAGAACCACTCATTGACTTAAGCATCGAAGTGTCATCCTAGATAAAATTTACCCAGGAACTCTAACCTCTCTTTCGTTTCTACAGATCTCAGCTCGAACCTTTAACTCGGCTTCACAGCTCGGCTCACCACAGATTGAACCTGGTCCGAGCCACATCATCAGACACAAGGGAGTGAACAAATTATGTGCTTCATCTATTGGTGGGCATATTTTGTGCCTCATCAGTAATCATAGGAACACTAGTGGATACATGGCTACAGGCCAAATGATGGGTCAGTCAAATTACACCAATTAGAGCAATGGTTGGGCACCTCTTCATCTTCCTCCATTTTCTTAATTTTGCAAAGACGAGTACTATTTCTTCATCGGTAGTAGAACTCCAGAAAGTGACCACAATCAAGAACAATTTGAACGTGCATAAGGAGACAATTCAACTTGAAGAAGATGAAGACAACCCAAATCTTAATTTGTTGAGTTTCACCTAGGTTGTCTCCTTATATATCTTAAGGGAAAATTCCATTACCTGTACTTTGGGCTAGTGCCATTTTGGTCCCCGAACTTTAAAACGCGATAATTTAGTACCCGCATTTTCAAATATGCCAATCTAGTACTTGCCATTAACCAGCCCCGTTAACAAGCCGTTAAGTGCCATTTGAAAAGACACAAATACCCTTTGAGTATCATCTAATTCTCTTTGTCAGCTAGCCAAACATTGACAAAAATGAACAGTCCCAAATCCTTGCCTCTTCTGTTCAATAAAGTTGGGGTCACCGGAATGTCCACTGAAACGTAACCCCAACTTTCTTGAATAAAAGCGACAAGGATTTGAGACTGTTCATTTTTATCAATATGTAGATGATTTAGATGATATTCAAAGGATATAATGTCTTTTCAAGATTGATTATCGAAAGAGGATTGACACATTTTAAAAGTTCGGATGGTGAATTTTCACATTTTAAAGTTTGAAGACCAAAGTGGCACTAGGCCCAAATTAAAAGTTACTAATCGCAAATTTTCCCCATATTAAAAAGGTATTAATCGAAAAATTTCCCTATATCTTATTCTGAACCGTATCGTGTCAACATTCAAAGACATCAAGTTTTGACTTGGCTGAGTAAATGTCCACTAATACTGGACCACCAGGCCAAGCCCAGACCGAGGATGATTTGTTCAAATCAATCCACCGTGGCGTCTGACGTGTCTATATGCATGCTTGAAGCGATCAATCGTATCACTTCTGTCTGAGTCAGGAACCTTCTGCAGCTGCCAGCTACAGTGAAATTACGCAAACGTGTTATTGGATTCGGATGCCATCCTGATCCTATCCAGCTATCCCTTGCGTTGTTGGTTGGTTTATTCTAACATACAACTTACAGATTTTTCGGTAGAAAAAGAAAAGAAAATGCTTTTTTAAGAAAAAGAAGGTTCGATTCTTCTTACAATGGTACAATGTCTACCTTGCACCGTTGAATTGAAAACTTCTTTTCAGTCTATTCTCTTCATCTTCACGCCGACGCACGGAATCTTATTCTTCCTTTCCTTCTTACTTATTAATTTATGACTTTAATAAATTTTCCTAGATGGGACGTACGACTGTACAGGCGGGGCCCACCGGCCCAGCTGTTATAAAGATTCCAATCCAACCTTAGACCAGAAATATGTGGGTCCCTTTGTGATTAAAACCTCCATCCATGTTCCATGAGCATTTTATTTTGATTTTTAACTTCACCTGCAACTAGAAAACAAGTAGTTGGAATTAGAATTTTAGAAATGGATTCAGTCTTCATCCCAGATTGGCCAKTACAAATGTCAATAGTCAAAACTTGGTCTTGGCAAGGACTGCCGACTCTAATTGCAGACCATCTAATCCGATACTGGTGATCTTGATGATGCTAATCATGCATTGTCAGATTTGCGAGATCTCTTAAGAGATAGTTAGGTGGGTCCAAGAAAAAAATGATGGCACATGTATCAATCAAATCATGTATGATAAAAGAGAGATGGGGAGTTTGGGTCTGGAGTGTGGGTGGTGATGGTCAGCTTTACTGCACAACGATTGTGAAAAAAAAAAGTTTTTTTGATTCTTCGGTTCATACTTCAGACTCGTATTTTCGTCTACTCCCCTCGTATATTTATTTTTCATCTTCATTACCTCTTCTCTTCTCTTCCCCTCTTTTCTCTCTCTTTACAGACTCCAGACCCCAAAACATGGGGCTGTCATGGAGCGCTAGAAGAAGGTACAACTATCAACCTCCTTCACAACTCATCTCTTCTTCTTCTTCTACTTCTGTTGCTGCTGCTGCTTCAGAACCTAATACTTCTTCAAACCCTCCTATACTTTCTCCTCCTCCTCCTCCTACTCCTCCACCACCACCGCCGCCGCCACCACCTAACTATGTTTTCGCTGCGAACGCCCCTTATCCTGCACACTCATATCCACCCCAGAATCCTTATCATACACTCCCACCACCACCACCACCACCACCTCCTCATTTGTCATTCTATCATTATTGTGGATATAACCCCGGCGGATACAGTGGGCCGTCTAATTATACCCCTTATTACGATAACCATGTTAATGGGTGGCATGGAATTCGGCCCCCCGGAGCTCCAATGCCGCCCCCGCCTCCTCCTCCTTATGTTGACCATCAGAGTGCCAAAAAGATTAGGAACGATGTAAATGTACACAAGGATACGATAAAAGTTGAGGTCGATCAGATGAACCCAGATTGCCATTTGGTTTCTTTTACTTTTGACTCTTTGGTCGACGGAAGGTAAGAGTCCTTTTCGAAACCTTAGTTCATGAGCTATTTTGTTTCTAAATTATTCAGTTTTGTTTTCCTTTCCTGTAATGGGCGTAATTGGAATCTGGGTGTTGATTGTTTAATTTGTTTATGTGATTTGATTTGTGTTGGCTATGGAGGGGAAACCTACTATGGGTTTTAAGTTTATTCAACTTTTCATTGTGGTTAGGGTTTTGAAGAGTCCATTTCAAGAAAACTTGCATATTCACATTTGAAATCAATTAGACTGGTGAAAAAAAATAACTAACACAGATCAAAATAAAACAAACTGTCAGTGCAAAATATACTCTTTTGCTTACCCATCAGCACACACACACACACACACACACATTTTGCTGAACAAAGAAAAATTTATAAGGAGAAAGGTGGTGCTTGGTGGTGGACATTTCGTTTATGTTTCTGAATGTGGTTGATATCTGGATTTTATATCGGTTAGTTATTGGTTGAGTTGCAATCTTCTTATAGTTTTGAAATGTTACATTGATATAATTGACCATTTCAGTAATCACCGTTAAGTGCACATGGAATGGATGCATCATGTACAAAGCAGCTGAATAGTTGATCACCCATTGTTTCATTTTTATTTTGTTTGATTTAGAAGCAGTTTGTTTATTCCATGAAAGATGGAACTGATCAGGTTCTTCATGTTGGGGATACAAGCGGTGTATTTTGTTGCATTATTCTTATCACCATTTACTGGGGCCTTGGGAAAGGAAGACAATAAACAATCTTTGATGATTAACCACAGTTGGTATAGATCATTCCCCATATGCTGCTTGTGAAGCAGGCATGGTTATTGATTCTTTCATTTTAAAGTGTGAACATTGTAGGGGGGCACTATTTAAAGTAGTTGAAGTAACTAAAGTAGCTTATGTACTGGTGATGGATTAAGTTGAATTTTGATAAAAGCTTCTTGGGAATCCCTGTCCTGAGTTAGGTATTTTGAAAATTTAATGATGATATACAAAAAATTAATATTACAAGAATAATTTTTATCAATAATTAATATATGGGAATATGCAAATCTAAATTCTGAAAGAAATTTATCATTTTAAAAAGCCAATTAGCTAGATTGATCAGAGTATTATGTTTATTTTAGATAAGCATTTAGAGTATTACATTTTTGACATTAAGGTTGTAGTCTTCTATGTTTAGGTCCTGCATGGGCTAAACTGTTTGAACTCTAAGCGTCATGGGTACAGCCTACAATATGGTAAAAGATGTATTCAACATTAAATTAAAGTTAATTCATAAAAAATATTAATAAGCCAGGTGAGGTGCACCTGGATTTGGGTGTGGCAACCACACAAAAATGAGCCTTGACCATGAGACTAGGTGTGTATTAGGCACATCTTTTAAAACACTGGTTAAGTGGAACCTTTTATGGAAAAATAAACTGAGATTTTGAAGATAGTGACATCTTACAAAAAAAAAAAAAAAAAGAGGTGGAGTGGATAGATAGAAGTTTCAATTATCACTGTATAATCTTATGGCTTACAAATTAGTTTGCTCTCTGTTGTAAGGCAGTTATTTAGATTACTAAAATGTGTAACCTTCAATCAGCTTCTGRAGGCTAAGTTCCTCATCCTTCTTCAATCAGCTTAGAGCCTCAGAACAGTCTTTGATCCTTCCCACTGAATGAAAACGGAAATGTGAACAGTAAACCCCATATAGTTATGACCTTTTTTTTTATAAGTAAAAAGAAAAAACAATTGCAACCTAGGACGGTGTTGAGAGAACACCACCATAAGAGCAAATAAACAACAGACATCCAAATCCCAAACAAAAAGGCCCCCAAACGACTAACATCCCAGCCAGCACAAAAGAAAACCACAAAAACCAGCAACCAATACAAAAAACAACCTCTAGAACAAACCAGCTGAGTCCGGGAACCAAAACAGAGCAGCCACGAACCTCCAAGCCTCAAACTCTCACCTATAACTTACAAGGGTGTTGCGGTTGTACATGGAAGGTCTATAAAAAGTTTGTAGATCCTTACAAAACAAACCACACAAATCAAATCTTAATTAACACTAAAGAAACTATAATTCATGAAGGTCTAGAAAAATTTTCTAGATCCTCACCAGAAACCACTTAAGTGGAATCATTAGTTAATTAGAAAAGGCCCATTTCATTGCATGAAGTTCTATGAAAATTTTTAGACCTAATAAATATGACATTCATTAAATATAACTGAATGACGAAACAGGATTCATGTAGCTGATCCCATATAGTTGGGATAAGGGCCATTTAAATGTAATATTTAAGATAAAAAACAAGAAAAATTAAACAAGATATATAATTTTATGTATTTATATTAGTAACAAATAAGTTACTAAAATATTCATAATGATCTCTAGTTTAAATTTCACATTCAAAATGTGAATAAACAATAAGAAATATTTAATAAATAAAATTAGAAAAATGTAATATGAGAAATCAGAATTAAAATTAGAAAAATCTATATGTTGAACCAGAAAGGATTAGCTGAACGCAATGGCTGTTCTGCAGGCTGTGGAACCAATGATAACTCTCCACACCAGTTTATACGGGCCCCACTACTCTCACAGTGGGAACTATGAATTTACTACTGGTTGTGGAGTGTTATCTTTGGTTCCACTCCTACTGAGCATCCATCATGTTCAGCTAATCTGAATTAATATTAAACATGTTTATAAATATTATATTATTAACAAATAAATTATAAAATGGTCACCCCTTAAGGAGTTCAGTGGGTCCTCTTATCAGCATTTTTGTAATCAGTGGGGGTCAAATTATTGGCCATGACCCTGTCTGACTTTTTCTGGTTGATCATTTTTTGTATATGCTATGTATAGCTTATACTGGAAACCCTTTCTCTTTGATGGGGCCATCTCCGTAATCTCCAGGGGTTCTCCCCTTTCTTCAGTTTACTTTCCTTTCAGAAAAAAACAAATAAATTACAAAAATAGCTATTAGTTAATTTACATTCAATATTTAATATAAATTAGACAAATATATAAGAGTAAACTAACTACAAATTAGAATAAAAAAATATGCATGCATAGAATATTCTTTCATAGTAATCATCATCATCAATGCCCTGTCCTAACTATATGGGGTCCACAACATGAGTCCTGTTTTGCCATTCCTTTCCGTTCAGTTCCATATCCTGATACCCATTTTCAAATTACTACTTCCACCCAAATCCCTTTTGGTCTGCCCCTGGCTCTTCTAGCCACTTTAACTTGTAACAGATCACTTCTTCTAATGGGTGCTGTAGATGGTCTTCTATGCATGTGGACAAACCACCTCAGTTTACTTTCTCTTGTTTTATTTAAATATAATATTTCAGATACAAATAAACAACAAGAATAATTAAGCAACATATATAATATAATATAATATAATATGATATGTACTTATTATTAGTAACAAATAAGTATTAAAATAATCATAGCTACATTAATTTAAGTTTCATGTTGAAACTATCAATAAACAATAAGAAATATTAAGAAGGAAAATTGCTTGTACTTGCTCTATTATGCAGTTTTAACTTGAATTTTAAAGTCTACACTTGACAGGATAATTTCACTGCATATTACTGTCTATTAACTTTAGTTGGTTTAAGACAAGATAATAATCTAAAGGGATGTATTTATGCTTCTTTATCAATTTATAAAATACCATTGCATATTTCCACATATCTCACAATGTTTCCCCCATGTCTATGATTTTTACAATATTTCCATCTAACATTTCCAACATATTTCCTTGGCTTTAGTTGAGTGTTTTTTTTTTTTTTTTCCTTAGAGGGAAGGCTGTATTGTTCCTTGTTGTCTTAATCCATATAATCCGAATTCTAGGTTTGATCCATTGGTTGAGAAGTGTAACTTTTTATTTTATTTTTTTTGAATTATTTATCCTATCAAGCCCAAGATTTTACTTGAAAGCTATCATTCTGTTTATACTTAATAGTGAATCCGTCAACCTACTTTCTTGTGTATTTTTGCCTTTTGTGGTTACTTAAAATTTACAATGGTAGAAAACACAGATTTTATTTGTTAAATATACATAAATGCATCATAAAGAATATGAAAAAAAGTCTGGCATCTATTCATATCTCAAGTCAAGTGCTTTTTCTAATTGGTAGTTTTCATGGTAGCATTTTTTTCTCCYCTCCTATAGTATAATCATCTCACTTCACAACTGAAATTGCATTCATTGCTTGCATCTGGAACAATATAATATGAGAACACAAATGGATTTATTGACTAACAATATCCATAAGAAAATAGGAAATAGAAAATATTTTGTATGGTGCAGCATAGATGGTCCCTTTGCTTTGAACTGGGAAACTTTTCTGTAATCCCAATTGGTGACAATTTTATGCATTCTCTGACCTTGAACAAAGATACTCTGAACTCTGAATAAGAGGATGCTGACTTTCTCAGTTGATAAAGCCTGGGGGGAAGTGAATCCCAGACAAATCAAATTCCATGCCCACTGTTATTAACTGCTAATCAATAATCAAACCCCCTATCCTATCTTGAAAAAAGGTACTATAAAAAAAAGGATGACAGAAACTAGTGTAGTATAAATAGCAATAAGGACCATTTGGTTATGGTAATTTACAGCATTGATTGATGCAACTAACAAGAGTCTTGGTAAAAGATGAAGATGAAGATCAAAGAATCTTGGTAAAAGATATGAAATCAAACAAAGATGGAAAAGCTATTTTCAAAAATTATTAAATGAAAAACAAGGAGAAGGTGCTAATGGAGGAGAATCTAGCAATACTAGTAGTGTTAAAAATAATATGTACCTTTGTAGAGTTAGATCTACTGAAGTAAAAGAGGCACTAAATAAGATGTAGGGAAAGACGCTAGGACCTAATGGGATTCTAATAGAAGTATGGAAAGGTATGGGAGAGGTAGGCTTGTTATGACTAACCAAGCTATTCAATAAGATAGTGAAAGAAAAGAAGGTGC